ATCTATTATTGGGAGTGGACTACATCCACCCTGATTGAATTGGCCCTGTCAACACTGGTTCTCCAATTGCGAAGTAACTCCCTGCTCTCCATGTGTCAGTATATAATGCCTGCATCTGTAATTTTCACTCTATGCATCCGAAGAAGTGAGGTTTTTGCTCACGAATGCTTATGCCCAAATAAATCTGTTAGTCTTTAAGATGCCACCAGACTCCTTGTTGTTTTTGTAGATACAGACTAACACGGCTACCCCCTGATACTTGAATCCTCAGGGGATACAGAATGACCTCACTCTACGGGGTACTATCTTCACCTGTTCTGTTTCACATGCAGACATATAAAAATCTCATCAGATGATCCTGGTAAGTGACAAAGGAATCACTTGCAGATTTATTGTGTGTGTGTTTTTTCCTGACAACCATCCAGCAATATTAGACCTCCGGCAACATGTGCCACATGAGAACAATCAAATCCTTTAATTCGCTAGGCAAGCCTGTTAGAGCTGTGTACCTTCCCATTAAAAGGTAATCTGTATAGCACATAGTGTAGGTAAAAGGCTGAAAACGCCCATCCCTTCCAGGTACTGTAAATAATTGCTGCCTGCTCTCTGACACATTCAAGTTCAAAGAGATCGCTCCACCTGAGCAATCTTGATGTCTGCTCCAAAGAGGTCTTTTTGGAACTAATTTGGGGCAGCAACGACTTACACGGCTCTGCAACTGAATAAGAATCACTACCAGAACAGATATATATTTAGAGAGAGAGAGAATGGTGTCATTGAGAAGATTACCAGGTCTCTTCCCAACAGTGCTGTTTCTTGTATCCACTGCAAATATCTTCCTTGTGTTTTATGTGAAGAATGTAATACAAGAACTGAAAAAGGAAAGCCACGGATACTTAGAGGTTCATCCCCGATCTCTCCGCCAAGAAAATGCAGTAATTGAACGGCTGGACCGTTTGGAGATGTATATTCACAACATCTGTAAGTAAAACACATTGCTGTTCAGCAGCATATTTAGAACATCTAACTTCACTAGAATTAGGTCTCTGAATTCTTTTGCCCTGTGGGCGCTGTTGTAGCATTTTAGAAGTAATTTATGTTTGTATGTGTTTCTTGGGATTTGTCTGAACACATTTTCTCTGCAATATTCTGATTTAGAAAAGATTTGAGGATTTCTCTGTCATATCTACAAGGAAATGCCACTTGCCCTTACCTGCTTTGCTTTCTAGGCTGGTATCACCCTAAACTGTCTTGGAGTTGGGACAGGTCTTAATCATTTAGGGGCCCATAGCTATAGACGTTGGAACCAGCAAGATTTGCAGCATTAGATGGAAGAGATTAAGATCAAATGTGAAACACTTGGCAGAGCTGATCACACCAGCAGATTAATCACAAGGAAAAATAATTTCTTAGATTTTGTTGTTGCTGTAAGAAATATATTGTGAGAAATGAATCTGTTTTGAAAGGAAGAGAGGCCTTGGGAATCCTCTTGCTCATTTCACCTGGCCTCTGCTGTTGTGGGAAGCAAAGGATTTGAACACGGGAAGCCATGACCAGGCCCTGTTTTTGTTCTTCTCATTCCCTGAGCTAGAAGGCACTGGCAGACATGCTATTGGGAAAGGGGGTTGCTGAGATTGGTGATAGCTGCTGACTGACCTGTGTTCAAAAGCAGCACTGAGAGCTGAAGGGAAGGTTGTTCAACCCTCAGAATACAGAATGAGGCAACTAATTTCTAAGGGTATGTCTACACTAGAGCTGGGTATGTCTACACTACCTTTCCAGCTCAGGTAGACATACCTGCACTAGCTCTGATTGACCTAGCACGCTAAACAAAGCAGTGGAGCTGCAGGAGGGGCTAGCCACCCTGAGTATGATCCCATCTGAAACCCTAGGTACGTACTTGGGTGGCTAACCTCTCCTGCTGCTCAGACTGCTACACCTATTTTTAGTGCTCAATCTGTTTCAGCATGTGTATGTTTGCCTGAGCTGGGAATTACACCTCCTGGCTGCAGTGCAGACATACCTTGAATGGGATGGAATATTTATGTAAGAAGAGATCAGGGCTTTATGACTGAAGACGTAGGAAATCCCTGTGTCAGGAATTCATTCTGAGAGGGATTTTGTTTGGAATGGTGTCACAGGGTAGCTGGCCCCTGTGGCTAGAATAAGTCCAGCTCCCCTGGACCAGAGCCGGTGAGTCCAAACCAGTCAATTAAAGAGAGAGATGGACGGAGACAGATTGTGCCCTGGGGAGCGAAAGCCGCACCGGATGCAGCTAGCTCCTGTGGTGGGTCCCTGGATCAAGGGTCCATAGACTCAAGGAAGCAGCCCTGGGGCTATTGCTTCAAGAAGGGAGCAGAGCCTGCTGAAACTGGGAAACTGCTGGGAGTAATAGTGCCAGAGACCCTCCAGAGGGGTCACCCTGAAGCCAGAGGCTAAGGAATGAGCTAAAACTGGTTTTCTGTTTGTTTGCTAACCTCCCTTAAGGAAATAAACCTCTTTGTAAAAGACTGGATGTGGCAGCACATGCTTTGGACTGGATAGATGCCTGGCCCAGTGACACATGGTACTAGAAGTGGGATTGCCAGCCTGCCCTGGAATAAGGGGAAGATGGAGGCGGTAATCTGCCTGTTAGTGGCAGGACAGCAATAGCAGACCTTGGCCCTGCTGATACAATTGATGGAAAACCAATAGAAACAGCAGGAGGCCACGTTTGCTGCACAACAGAGGTGACAAGAAGTTTGCTCCAAATAACAGGAGTGAATACAGAAAAGATTAGGCTGAACCACACCTGGTAACAAAGCTGGTGTTGGGACTAGTGGCTGGTTGGTCCCAGGCCTAGAGAAGCTTGGACTGGAAGATGATGCTGAGGCCTTCCTCTGAACATTTGAGTCGGTGGCAAAGGTGGCAGACTGGTAGGTGTTGACAGGGGTGGCCGCATAGCACCTTCCTAGTGGGTGAGGAGCAGGCAGCTTACCTGGCAGTAAGAGATGAGATGGTGAACACCTATCCAGTGGTGAGGGCTGCCATCCTGGACTGAATAGGGCTGAGTCCTGAGGCATATAGACACAGGTTGTGGGTAGAACTGTTCCCACAAGGGACCTGATGGTAGTAGTGGCCCAGAAATTATGGGACCTTGCGACACGGTGGCTCTGTCCTGAGACCAGTTCAGTGGAGAAAGTCATGTTGGAGCAATTCCTGAAAGTTCTACCGAGGGGTCAAAGAGCTGGCCTTAGTGGGGGAAGAGGTGGAATGAGCTGAAGCCTTCTTTGAGGAGAAAGGAGACAAGTGACCAGGGCACTATGATAAACTGAGGCGAATTCAGTAGGGAATGACCCAGGGAAGCTCACAAGGGAGAAATACCTTGAGTAACCAAAACTCAGGGACACGCAGGACCTACAAGGGACCCAGGTAGCCCCACCATTTATTGCAAATACTGGTGAGAGGGAACCAGAGGGGCCCTATGGTTTGCTTCAGGTGTGACCAGTCTGGGCATAGTAAACTGTTAGTAGAGTGGGACTACGTGGGAGACCGCTCCAAAACTCTCTTAGAGTTGGACAGGGCTTAATCATGTAAGGACCCACAGGAGCCCCACTGCAGCTAGTAGAAGTTAGGGTGGGGGAACAGTAGTTGAGGGACTTGTCGACTCAGGTTGTGGGTGCATGCTGGTTCAGGAAGATCAGGTGAGGGTATGAAGCCTGGACAAGCACCTCTGAGTACACATCTCCTATACCCATGGTAAGACCCGCATCTATCCCACCACAGAAGTTGATCTGGAGGTTCAGAATCGAAGAGCTCGACTGCATGCTGCAGCGGTCAAGAGCCTGCCTTGGTCCACCATTCTGTGGTGAGACTGAGCAGATTTCCCAGCTCTCGTACAACAGGGGCTAAAACAAGAGCCCAGGACCAGGCTTGGTGGCGCACTGGGGAGGCCCAAATGAAATCTCAAATCCCACAGGGGAATGTGGGAACCCAAACAAAATCCCAAATTCAAAAGGGTACCATGGGGACCCAGGCTGAACTACCTGTAAAATAAGCCAGTGTGGGGACTCAAACAGGACTATTCCAACAACTAGTGTCCTAAATAGGGAGCCAGGGAGAGAAACAGGGCTCCAGTGCAGGGAAAGAGATAGCACAGATCTATTTTATAGCTCCCCTGCAAAGGCCTGGTGAGTTTATAGAACAACTGGAGTCAGCGGAAAGCAAATTATGGAACCTCAAGTTCAAGAAAGAACAACTAGCCACAGATCTCCAATTCACTGAGGAGAACAGAGAATGTTTACTCCTCATGGTTCACAAACTTGAGACTGAAGTAGAGACTCTGGGCACAGAGACAGAAAAGCCTAGTCACGCAGCGACTCCAAAGTCCAGGCGATGGAGATAAGACTATGTAGGGACCATGCCCCGTGAGACTGGGTATGTGACCCTGGCACCACTGCATAATATTCAAGGTGACTGGGACTGAGAGTTCGTGCTTGGGGGCAGGACCTCTAGGACTCAGAGAACACTCCGTGACTGGATGGGACTTGTGGGAAACGATAGTTGAAATGTTGGTATTATGTTAAACCACTGAGGAGAATATTTGGGTTGGATTAAGAAAAACTTTCAGGCCCTGAAATGTTGTAAAATGAATGATGTTGCAGAATGTTGGTGCAGAACAGTGTTTTTGCATGGAGAGGGGTGAGAGTAGCCCTATGAGGCTACCTCACAAGAAGGAAAATATATGCATTTTTTTATTCCTGGAAAACTGGGGGTGAGGGTACGTCACAGAGTGGATAGACTAAACCCAGTGCCCCTGAACCAGAGCAGGTGAATCCAATCCAGCCAATTAAAGAGGGCTGGGCTGCTATAAAGGGTTGTTGGGAGAGGGACGAAGCCAAGCTGTGCCATGGGGAAAGAAACCCACTCTGGAGTGGAGCTAGCTTTTGTTGAGGTCGCTGCAAAGGGCCAGGTGCTCAGGGAAGCAGCCCTGGGGCTGTGTTGCTCCAAGAAGGGAGCAGAGCTGACTGAAACTGGGAAGCTGCCAAGGAGCATCACAACAGCCCAACACTATGGCATTTAATTTCAAAAGGGGAAACTATGCAAAAATGAGGGGGTTAGTTAAACAGAAGTTAAAAGGTACAGTGACTAAAGTGAAATCCCTGCAAGCTGCATGGGCGCTTTTTAAAGACACCATAATAGAGGCCCAACTTCAATGTAAACCCCAAATTAAGAAACACAGTAAAAGAACTAAAAAAGAGCCACCGTGGCTTAACCACCATGTAAAAGAAACAGTGAGAGATAAAAAGACTTCCTTTAAAAAGTGGAAGTCAAATCCTAGTGAGGCAAATAGAAAGGAGCATAAACGCTGCCAAATTAAGTGCAAGAATGTAATAAGAAAAGCCAAAGAGGAGTTTGAAGAATGGCTAGCCAAAACCCCAAAGGTAATAACAAAATGTTTTTTAAGTACATCAGAAGCAGGAAGCCTGCTAAACAACCAGTGGGGCCCCTTGATGATCGAGATACAAAAGGAGCGCTTAAAGACGATAAAGTCATTGCGGAGAAACTAAATGGATTCTTTGCTTCAGTCTTCACAGCTGAGGATGTTAGGGAGATTCCCAGACCTGAGCTGGCTTTTGTAGGTGACAAATCTGAGGAACTGTCACGGATTGAAGTGTCACGAGAGGAGGTTTTGGAATTAATTGATAAACTTAACATTAACAAGTCACCGGGACCAGATGGCATTCACCCAAGAGTTCTGAAAGAACTCAAATGTGAAGTTGCAGAACTATTAACTAAGGTTTGTAACCTGTCCTTTAAATCGGCTTCTGTACCCAATGACTGGAAGTTAGCTAATGTAACGCCAATATTTAAAAAGGGTTCTAGAGGTGATCCCAGCAATT